CTCTGCTCTCCTGGGGAATCAGAGCCACTGGAAAATTCATCACACAGCTCCCAAAGGCAGCTGAATGGCAACACTGAGGGATGATATTCCAGCAAAGATTCCCAGAGCACTGTGACAAATCATCTCTGGAGCTCCTGGGACAGTGTTACAACAGCTTACCCCGACACAAAATCAAATTTAACTCCATAGATTTCATCATTCTTGAACTGCCCAAGTACAGTGGACTGAAGACTTTTGGGGGTTATTTAATTTCTTATATTATATAATATTTTATTATTATTTTAATTTATAATCTTAATTTTCTAACATATCTAATATATGCACTTTATCTTGTGTAACTAAACACTATTTCAGGCTTTGTCTTTGCTCTTTTCACTGTTTGACAAATAATTGCTGGAAGTTGCTGTGAATTTAAAAGTAAAGGGTTACAACTGCTCTGCCTCTAATGTCTAATTGTCTGCAAAGCTCCAGTATGCTACAACTGCTACTCATTAAAAGCAAAGTGTTTTAAAAAGCAATTTCCCCCCTTAATTTCTCAAGTCTCTGAATTTAAGTTCCTAACCGGGTAGAGAGTGAAACCAGGCAGTGCCTCCAGCCCCTTGGAAAAACTCCCATTTCCATCCCACACCAGAGCGAGGACGCTGAGGATGCTTTCTGCAAAGCAAAGCAAAAGCTGGAAGAAAAGAAAGCTGGACAGACAGTTGGTCCAGAGGAAAGGCTGGAGACAGGGGCAGAAAATGCTGGGAGAAAAAAAGCCAGAGAGACAGTCTGTCCAGAGGAAAGGCTGTGGAGAGGGAGGAATCCCTGGATTATTTTCTCTTACCACCTCACTCTGCTGTTTGTCCACACAAAAGGCTGAGGAGTCCTCCAGAAGGATTTGAGGTCTTCCTTGAGTTCCTGCTGCAGATGCAAGGGATTCCTGACCTCTTAAAGCCAAGGATGAGAGGGAGTGAGTGACGGAAGCAGCCACACCTGCATCCTGTGCCCCTGGATCCTCCCACCTCCAGGAGGATCCCCAGCAGGATCCCTCAGTGCCTCCCACCCTTCGAGTCCTCCCCACAGCCTCGGCAGAGTGGATCCTCCTCCTCCTCTCTCTCCATTTTCCTTCATTCACAGCACAAACAGCCCCTCCCCAACACCCTGTAAATAGGATTCAATGCTAGGGGAAAAAAGGAAAAAAAACATCTCCAGTGTGGTGTCACAAAGCTGAGCTCATCACTCAGAACCCATGGGGGAGCAACTGCATGTGCTCTGGCAGGTAAAGGAACTCAGGGATGAAGCTAAAACACAGCTTTCTGGTGTCCAGCTCAACAGAAACACTCCAACCTGCACACAGGGAGCTGTTGTGTCTCAGAAGTCCTCCTGATTTCATGCATTTGTTCTGTAACTCGCCCTGGCGTTTCCCCCACGACACCAAGGCCATCATTCCCTGCTGTTGGTCCAGCTCAGAAGCTGTGCAACGTTCACTCGAGAGAGCGCAGTTTCAGGCTGAGGAGAAAGAATTCCAGAGGGGCAGATGGAGATGGAGTTCTGTGTTCCAGTACAGAGCTGTTCATCTGACCAAGCCAGACGGATAGCCCAGACTGGAAAGACTCCGGATGGGACTCCCAGAAACCAACGCAAAAGTGATGCAGTTCCAATTGCATCGAGATTATTTCAAAACCAACCAGTTTTTCAAAGCTGAGCCTCTCGAATTTTCACTTTGCAGGTGAACACTCCCTTAGCTTCAAACCAATGATAAGGGCTAAACTGAATCCAGACCAGAAACGTTTCTGAGAGCTTTTATTTCAGGTAGCAAATAAGCACTGGCACAATCCTTTATCCCATACCACCTTTGGATTTCTCAAACCAGTATTAAACCTCAGGGCTTTTACAAATTTAGAAGCCCATATTACCACCACCCGTGGGAACAAAAGCAGAGAAAAACGAGAGAGAAGGCAAGAAAAAAGAATATGTCCAAAGGCTTGAAAACAGAAAGAGGACTTAAGAGGTCTAGTCCAGGCAAAGTGCTTTGAATCCTCTTTTCCTTTCTTTCCTGGACGTCTTTGCTCTGTCCTGTTCCTGATCAAATTCATGTCAAATGAGCCATCCCTTCTCTGGAACGTTTCCTTGCACCCCCAAACCCGCTGCCCTGAGCCCCGGGAACCCCCAAACTCGCTCCCCACACCCTCAGGAGCCCCAGACCCCGGGGCGGGTCCCCCCCCGCCCCCCCCGCGCGCTCCCGCCCTTTCCCGCCCCGCCCCGCCCCGCGCGCCCCCTCAGGCGCCCTCAGGGGCTGCCGAGGGGAAAAGAGCCACAAAAACAGCGAAAGAAAGCCAAAACTCCACCGGCCCAGGGCTCGCCTCTCCCCAAAACCATCCTTTGG